CTTTATTCAAGTAAAGCGGTTCCAGATGATGTCAAGTGCCACGTCCACCGGAAACGGTGTTTGAACATTGTCGTGGGAGGTTCAGGCGAAAACTGAAAGACAGCCGGCAAAGAAATCAGCGACCTTGGCAGGTCCCGATAGCCACTCAGGACAAGCAGGGATAGGGATCAAAAAAAAACTGAGGATCAAAAAAAAACTGAGGATCAAAAAAAAATCCGATGATAAAAAAAATAAAAGCTAGGAAGGAAGGAAGGAAGGAAGGAAGGAAGGAAGGAAACACTAAGAGCACAAATGTTGCCAGAAAAGATGCCAAAGATAATGGCAAAAATAGTGCCAAAGAATATCAGGCAGGATTGCCTGTGAAAACAGGTATTGTCATTCTGCTTTGGGGGGAGGCGCTGCGCCCTCCCCACAATCCCCCCCTCCCGCTTCTTTATTCAAGTCACACTTGCATTACACTTCTCTGCATGTGTGTATATATATTTTTTTGCATGTAGCATTGCCTGTGAAAACAGGTATTGTCATTCTGCTTTGCCCCCCTCCCGCTTTTATATTCAAGTCACACTTGCAATACACTTCTCTGCATGTGTATGTATAAATATATATATATATATATATACGCGCTTCTTTATTCAAGTCACGCTTGCATTACTACTGCTACTACTACTACTACTACTACTACTACTAGCACTACTAGTACTACTACTAGTACTACTACTAGTACTACTACTAGTACTACTACTAGTACTACTACTAGTACTACTACTAGTACTACTTACTACTTACTACTACTATACTACAGCTACAGCTGCTGCTGCTGCTACTACCCACCTCCAAACTTGTGATTCCTGGTGCCATAAGATCCTGGTGCCATAACCCGGATCAAAATTAAAAATAAAAAGAATCAAAAAAAAATATTCGCAGCGTTTTTTTTTGATCCCTTGGTGTCCAGCTTCTTCTTGCCTCATGCCATGTCCGAAATGCCGTCCCTACCATCGAAATATCAATAATTTTTTTGATCCTTTTTACAGGGCACCCGCAGCTTGGGTATGACTTTTGGCGCTCACGCTGACGACGCATTGCGACGACACATTGGCGATGACCCCCACCCACCCTGACGACGCATTGTCAGAACATGGGGGGGTTTAGTGCATAACACCAAGAGCGCGTTGGAAGGTCCAAGGCTAAAAGCATAGCACAGGAGGCAGATGGAGGCAGCATCAAGAGAACGCTGGTCGGAAGACAAGAGCATAGCACCAAGAGCGTGTGGAAGTTCCAAGAGAAACGTATAAGCTATAAGCAAGAGAGCGCACTGAAGGACCAAGAAAAACCTACGTAAGAGTCTAGCATCCAGAACGTGTTGGAGGTCAGAGCGGAGCATCAAGCGCATGCTGGAATGCTTGAGGAAGAACAAAAGAGCGTAGCAACTAGAGCGCCCTGGCGTGTTCCAGAACAAAGCTAAGAGCGTAGCACCAAGAGCGTGACTTTCTCCAGGCCGGCGTCACAAGGCAGAGCGTAGCACCAACAAGAGCGCGTTGGAAGTTCCGAGAACAAGTTATAAGAGCGTATCATCAGGATTGTGGTGGACCTTAGCGTCAACAGCATCTTGAACTGTTCCAAGACAAGGTTCAGCGCGTAGCATCAAGAGAGTGTCAGAGCCGGAGCGAAGAACGTAGCATCAAGAGCGTGTTGGAATTTAATGTGTCACAAAAAGAAGCAAAAAGAGCGTGCCATGCTCCAAGAGAAACCAAGAGCGTAGCGTCAAGAGCGTGCTGGCATGTCCCAGGACAAGGCAAAGAGAAAGTGTTGAACAGCCCGCGAGGTAGTTAAGAGAGTAAAAAGCACCAAGAGCGCGTCAGAAGTTCCAATTAGACAGCTAAGAGCGTAGCATCAGAGCATGTTGGGGTCAAGAGAGCAGCATCAAGAGCTTGCCGGACTGTCCCAGGAGAAAGCTAAGAGTGTAGCAGCAAAACTGTGTCGGAAAACCCAAGAGTAAGCCAAGTGCATAGCACCAAGAGCTTGTTCGAACTTCCAAGAGAAAATTAGCGTAGCATTCAAGAGCGCGACTGTCTCCAGAGTGTAGCGTCAAGGGCGTGCTGAAAATCCTCAGGAGAAGGCCAAGTGCGTAGCTAATTTTCAAAATCTCAAAGAGCAAGCCCGGAGGCTATAGCATCCAGAGCATTTCGATCGTTACTCTTCCCTTTCGTTTTGTCTTCCCTTCTGTTCCCTACGTCGCTCCTTTCGTTTTAACTTCTGCTCCGTTCGTTACTTCCTCCCCAGTGTTTATCTTATTCATTCACCTCCTCCTTTAATATCTTTCATTCAAAGGCGTTCATTTCGTTGGGTCCGTCTTTTCGCTCAAATCTTCTGTCCTGTTCTTCCTGCTCTGCCTTTCCTTTCAACTCGACCATTTCATTGCGTCCGTCTTTTGTTGCAATCCTTCCGTTTCAACTCTTTGTAATCCCGTTCGCTACTTCTTCCCTTTCGTTTCAACTCTTCCCTTCTGTTCCCTATACCTCGTTCCTTCCGTTTTAAATCGTTTTAACTCTTCCCTTCCGTTTGGTACTTCCTCCCAATCGTTTAAACACTTCCATCCTGTTCATTTACCTCTTCCTTTCATGTCAATGCGTTCATTTCGCTATTTCCTTTTTTATGTCTTACATCCGGTTCGTTTACCTCTTCCTTCTTTCCAAGTCGTTCATTTCGTTATCTCCTTCCATTTTCAACTCTTACATCCGGTTCGTTTACCTCTTCCTTTCGTTTCGAGCCGTTCATTTCGTTATACTTCTTTCCTTTAGTTTCTATATAGTCTTACATCCGCTTCGTTTACCTCCTTTCCTTTCAGCGTGTCCATTTCATCACGTCCGTCCTTTCGTTGCAACTCTACCCTTCGATTCGTTACTTCTTTCCTTTCGTTTCAACTCTTTTGAATCCGGTTCGTTACTTCCTTCCCTTTCGTTTCAGCTCTTCGCTTCTGTTCCTTATACCTCGTTCCTTTCGTTTTAAACTCTTCCCTTCCCTTCGTTACTTCCTTCCCATCGTTTCAACGCTTCCATCCTGTTCATTTACCTCTTCCTTTCGTTTCAATGTTTCCATTTCGTTTCAAGCCGCTCACTTCGTTACCTCCTTTCTTTCACTTCAACTCTTCTTTTCTGTTCGTCTTGCTCTTCCTTACCTTCCTTTCCTGTCAACTCGTCCATTTCATTGCGTCCATCCTTTCGTTGCAACTCTTCCCTGCCATTCGTTACTTCTTTCCTTTAGTTTCAACTCTTTTTCATCCCGTTCGTTACTTCTTCCCTTTCCTTTCAACTCTTCCCTTCCGTTCCCTATACAGTGTGCCTTTCGCTTCAACTCTTCTCTTCCGTCCATTACTTCCTCCCTATCGTTTCAACACTTCCATCCTGTTCATTTAAACCTCTTCCTTATGCCCCAGTCACCATGTGCAGCAAGAACTGTTTTTCAAGTAGGTTTACAAAAGCAGGAACATTGGCAAAAGTGGTCTTCTGGGTTTGCAAAAGCATGGGTCACCCCCACAGCTGTCCCTTGGGTTTGGGGCAAGCTGGCTTCTGAGCAGGGTCATGGGGGTCAGAAAAACCCCATGTAGAAACATGGTTGGGTGCCCTTGCCTAAATATACCAACACCGATTCATTGACGGCGTTCCCCCTAACTAAGAGGCTGGTGATGTTGTTGCCCCAAAATGCCAAATCCCAATATATTGAGGGCCCCTTCATGTACGGCAAACACGCTTGACAGCAACGTGCTGCGTGGGTCTGTATGTCATACAGGGGCTGGCCTATTCCAAAGGTTTTGAGTTTTGAGAGTTGTGACCAAAGGATTTGTTGCGCGCGCTATTTATTGAGTATGGGTGTGGTATTCGAGGGAAGTTTCGCGCAATAAGAGCTTGTGTGGGTGGCAAGGCATTAGTGGCATTGCCCCCATATTGAGACCAATGCTCTTCCCCTAAGGCCCCAAAAACAATGACACGCCACGTCAAACCATCAACTAAAGCGCAGTCAAAAAAAGGGGTCATCAGCTTCAAAGTACCATCCCTCATTTTGTACATTGTCCAGCGCCCCATCCCTGGCTGGTGTATGCGGGGGGGTCTTGAAAAGGTCATTGTAAGTTGAAGGTTCTTTAAGGGGCGGGTGATCTTCAAGGGGCGGAAACATGTTGTAGGTCGACCCGGGTGACCTCACTCTTTACAGGAAATACCAAGAGGCATCAGGAACATGTTTTTTTCTCCTGGGAGCACGTCCGCTGGTCAAGAGTCAGCGTGGACAGGTATGCCGAAGTATTCAATGTGACTTCGAGCCAATGTTTTATATATTTCTCATGGGATCTTGTGGGAAACAAAAAAAATGCTAATTTGCACACCTGTCCTACTTCCAAATGCTGCACAAATCACTGGAGGTACAGCGTGGGCAGGTGGAGGGGCACATGCCGCGGTGTTTATGGCATTGAGCCCCTCCACCTCTCGCTGCTGAGTGAGCTGAACAAAGGTTTAGGGACTGGATAACCAGGCCCTAATCCAAAACGTCATCAATTCCACATTTGCAGGTTATCAATGGTTATCAAGTTCATCTTAGTTCCACAATCATATGGCCTCTGGCATCTCTGGCTATGTCTTCAGTTGCTGCTGCAAATGTGGGCAAATTACAATCAAAAGACCGGCACCCCCCCTTGTAAATTCAAGCAAACACATGCCTAAGTTCAACTGGCCACCATTCTCAACTAGTATGTCATCGACTCATAAGGAGGAAAAGCCCTGATGCCCGAAGGAAGATAGGCTCCTTGTCCACTTGAGTCGGAACAACGACTTTCTTGTTGCAGAACTTGTGGCTGAATTGCTGCTTCCTTGTTAACCGCAGGTAAATTATAATCATGTTTAATCTCTGCCTCAAGTTTGACCAGAGCAAACAATTGTGGAGTTGCTCCAAGGCCGAGAAGCACTTCCAACTCCATGACAGGATGATACGACAGGGCTGCTCACAAAATGCCATCACACCTGCATGTGGTAGACCTGAAGTCAACTTGATTGTTTGTGCATTTCAGATGCTTCAATTTCAAGGATTGATTCAGTTCGCCACAAAATCCCAGCAGACTGGGAGTCTGACCGGTGCCAGCTCGTCATCCTCAGAAGCCTGTCAGGTTCGCCAAGATTCTGCAAGACACATCTGTTGAAAGTTACAAAATTCCTCCGCAGTCCTCACAAAGAATCCGCTGAGGGGCGAACCCTGCGTCGGAGATAGACGCCAGCGGCCACACCCAGACCGAGGCAGGGCAACAAGACAAGGACCTCAGGCTCCCCCAGCAGAGCGCTGTCAGGTGCCAAATGCCACCGAGTTGAGTTTTCTTTTTGGGGCCAAGACGGGAGAGGTGCCTTTCTCCTGGGGCAAAAAGCATCGTGTTTTTCTTCAGTTGTTGCATCTCCAAGCAGCATGGAGGCGCATAAAAACATCAAATAAGAAAGTCGACATATGTCGACATGTTCATCTTCATAGATCGGAAATCAAGCCGTTAAGTGAAAAAGCTCCACGACTGAACAAAGCACCAACAACGGACTTCACAAAGCCCGCCTGAGCTAGCAATTTCTCTGGGGCAGCATCATCCTGCGACAACGATGCGAGGTACCGTTGCAAACAGTTTCAACAACGCCCGCAAGACTGTCACAGTGTCTTCAGAACTTCTGTTCCAAGTACGCTCTGCTTCTCGGTACACTCTTGGTGGTTCAATCTGCAAACCTTCTCGTGCTTCTCCTTGATGTCCTGTGTGGAGCAAGGGACGCGCCAGCACTAGTTCCATTAGATTTTGTTTGTAGAAAGAACTACCTGTCAAAATATTACTGTGCGCAACGTTAGTGTGAATATTAAAAAATTGGTTTGCTGGTTGGCTGGTTGTTAGTTGGTGGTTGCAACTTCCACAAAACACAAATCTCAATGGGAATCAAACAAAAAAAACACCTTCGAAGCCACCAGCCCACATGGCATTCAAGACCCCTCCGCACGCCTCAACCTTCTTTTTGACCTGGCAGCTGTCATTTGAAGGTCCAGACATCTCCAGATATGGAATGGAATGCATCCACCAAAATGACCTTGTTTGGAGAAAAAATACATTCAAATTTTCTAAATTTTTAAAAAAACATCTCCTCAAAATATCCGGACAAGAAACTGCTTTGGCCACATCATCAGCCTTGCCAAGACATCCACTTCGTTAAGAATGTATGCGTATGCTGCCAATATCTGCCAATACAACTTCCAACTCACACAATGACGCAAAATGCCCACTACTACATGGTTTGCGAGCCTATGCACAGCGTGCATACCCATAGAAGTTAATTGATTAATTGAATATCAATTGTGCAGCAATTCAGAGACACCACAAGACCAGGCCCACCTCATCAGCAGTCTTATCTGCCTTGCCTTCCACCTGAGGCTGTTGCTGGTGCCAGGTCTGATGAAGGAAACTCGAAGCCACTGCAGTGCAGCTTGGTCACGGCATTGGCTGCTGAGTTGAAGCCGTTCTTCAAGGTTTGGGAAACCTTTCGTATCCAAGCGCAAACAGCAGTCAGAAACAAACAATCGGGGTTTATTGGTGCCAAATTTCTTGCCTGCCTCATACCTTGTATCTTCATAAATAGTAGTTGCGGATTGTTCAGCCATGCTGCAATGTTTAAACGATATTCCTCCAAGGATATCAGAAATGGGAACCGCCTCGTCGATCCAGTTACCAGCTGTTTTCTCAGCTTCCTTCGTGTCCTCGGACACCTCGGCACTTTGAGGCACTGGAGTTGTAATGGGGAGACGGAGAGTTCATTGGATATATATGATATAAACCTAAGCCACTTGAGATATGATAGTTGAATTTGATTGAAACTAGGGTCCTCCGCCCAAATCTGATGGTTGCGCATTTTCTGAATGGAAATCTATATATTGAAGTTAAACATGTCAAGTATCCCCCATTTTGGGACAAGGCTGATGCTATTTGCATATACCGAGAGTGAATTTGGGTCCGGTTCACTACCCACTGCCAAACTTGAGAAGGGGTGACACGAAAGGTAGTTGTGTCAGACGTTATAACTCTGATTGTCGTTGTGATGTGACTCCAGCTTGGGTGGTTCATGAACCGTGGACGGGCATGAAACTGGACATTCATAGCTGAACGGAGATATCTGGATCCGAAAAGAGGGCGCCCCACGATTGCCATGGTTGATCATCACTTGGTCTATTTAAAGGGCCATTCGGAGGTATATTGTCTGACACACGCATCGTGCGGGGGAAAAAAACACGGTCAGTATTAGCACAAACCCCAAAGTCGCTTTTGCGGTACCTATGGATGCTCGAACCTGTCACTTTCATCGCACCGTTGGGTACGGGGCAAATGGATGTCGAAAAATCCGAATTGCAAATCGAATGATGATGATGATGATGAGGAGGATGAGGATGATGACAATGATGCTGATGATGAGACACTGCGAAGGGGCTGCTGCGTGAAGAAACGCACAAGGCATGTGACGAGAGTTCACTTGGGGGGGGGCATGGAACTGGACATTCAGAGCAGAGCGGAGATATCTGGATCCGAAAAGAGAGCACCCCACGATGTCCATGGTTGCTCATCACTAGTCCATTTAAATAGCCATTTGGAGGTATACATTGTCAGACACACGCATCGTGCGGGGAAAAAAACACGGTCAGTGTTAGCACAAACTCCAATGTCTCTTGTTGCGGTACCTATGGATGCTCGAACCTGTCACTTTCATCGCACCGTTGGGTACTTGGAGAATGGATGTCGAAAAATCCGAATGTCAAGTCGAATGATGATGATGATGATGATGATGATGATGATGATGATGATGGTGATGATGACGAGACACTGCGAAGGGGCTGCTGCGTGAAGAGACTCACCAGGCATATGGCGAGAGTTCCCTTTGAGGGGGGGGAGGGGGGGGGTCCCTTTCTCCTGGTCGTTCAAGGATAAGGGGTCCAGCCCGCCCCTTTGCTTCGCAAAGTAAAACTCAAGGTAGCCCGCTAGGAGGCTACCTTTCGTGATCTTCAAGGATCATCCCAGCACGATCCATTCTACTCCCAGGCATATAGCTAACAGGTGCACAGCAATTTATTATATAAAGGTCAAAAGTCAGTATACACAAGTTGTATATCATCGTCCATCACCACGTCCCATCCAAATCCTGCCTTCTGCTTGAATTGATCCAACATGCTTCCAGTGTCCTGACATCATATGAGTAGCGGACAAAATTATATGTTAAATTTAGTGCCATGCACAAATAAGGGTCGTCTCCTATCGGTTGTGAGGATTTCAGTATTCCCGGGGGTATCACAAATGTGATATCGGTATATCGGTTATGAAGGTTTTGTGCAACCTCGGAAAGGCCAAGGCGAAGCAAAACTAAATTAGTATTACAATAATTTTGTCGATTACTCGGTTACTCGGTTACTCATATAACCATCAGAACTGGTCCAAGCAAAAGAGAGCCCCAAACATGTCAACGTACGATCCTTGTCAGTGGCATCCAACATCAAGGGTCCCTTGACAGGAGCGGATGGAGCCTGCGATGTGGCTGGTGCATCACTGGAGAAAAAAATACGCTTTGGTGCAAGAATCTGAGGATCGCGTGCAATTTGTCTGCATTCAAAGCGTCATGTTTGTCTGGCGCAACGACATGCAAGTCTGGAGATTCAACTTCTAGATCTTCTAAGGCAAGGTGAGGAGCACCACTCAGCAGGGTTTCCGTCTCCTCTGAGAGGGAATGGAAAAGCACGTGGCCACTTTCATGCCACAGGCCCATCTTAGTGCTGGAAGCTGCTCTGAAGGGAACAAACACAAATTATACAAATTGATATAACCAATGTCACGAAAATGAAGACGACAATGACATGATGATGACTTAATGATGACTTGCAGTTCCAACCACTTCCAGTCAGGAAAAAAACTCCGATGGGCGGCGGCAATCACTGGCGCAAATCGCTTCCTGCATCGGCCTCGTCACCAAATCGTCGGGTCGGCGGGTCTCCTCGAGCTACGTTTCGCTCTGTGGGGCATTTGCCCATCCTACTCCCAGGCAGCTAACCATGGATTCGAAACCGATGCCTTGCCATCGGTTTGCTCCCCGTGACAGTAGCAGAGCCAATATAACGGATACCTTCCAATGTCTTCCAACTTCCAACTGACTGAAATACATTGACAAATCATTGAAATACTATAGTCCAAGTTGGGATTCTTGGGCTTGTTGGCTTGAGATTCTATGAAAACAGTTCACTTCCAAGGTGTCAACCAAGAATTGAAGTGGTCAGAAGGCACATGAAGGCACCCAAGCTATCTTCTCGTCTGAAGCACTGGGTCTAAATGATGATCAGCTTCCAAGGACGGAAAAGAAGCTTGACCGCTTCAGTCTGCCCTCAAATTAGCCACTGCTGTTCACAGTGGGGCTGACAGTTTTTTGTTTTGAATCAGAGCTTTTCCACCCAGAAATATTCGGAAGATTTGATCCAACTCCTGTAGACTCTGGCCATGGAAAATATGGAAATAGTTGGCTGGCAACAGGACCAAAGCACCTTGCACGCGCTTCAAGATTCCGGGAACTGGATTGGCCAAGGGCACAAATTCTCTGTAGCCCGCGGGCAAAGATTGACACGCCAATGATCGCAAATGATTACAAGACAAAGTTCATACAATACTATCTGAATAGTCTGATTTGCGGGTCTCAGTTTGGAGTCAGAGGAAGTTGTGAAACAGGTGTTGAATGACTGACTGCAAAACAAAGTTTGATCCAACTTTGGCACGCCCGGAAAACAAGTCTTTGTCGCTTCATCGAGCGCAAGTCGCCCATGGAACGCTGCGGCATTCGGCTGGGCAGGAACTAGTGAAGGTATTGGTGTCTGTACTGTGGAAACAGTTTACAAAGCAATCTTAGCCTTAGTGTTCAGATTGCCGACACAGGGCTCAAGGAACTGTCGGAAATCTTGCGACTGTTGTTTTAGTGCAGCTTTTGTTTCAAAGTGGCACTCAACTTAGCTGTCCAAATATGTTGCAAACTGCAAAATTATTTTGCAGAGATCACGTTCGCAAAGTTTCCAACCACACGGAGCAATGGTAAGTGTCTGGATTTTCCCTGGCAAACCGGTCCTCTTCACGGATTCTGCAAGACCTTTCGTCTTGGCCTTGGCAGAATGGAAGGAGCAAAACGATGGCACGGGCATGGGATGGCATTTCCAACATGCACGGCCTCCCCAAATCCCACGGTTGATCATCATCTTCGCCATTAAATTTGCCATTTTGGACTATCCCCCTTTGGGCAAACCCATCTACCATTGCTGCAGGTGCCTGCACCATTCCAAACCAGCATTGCCTATTTGCAATGTATGTCCAAACGGCCAAACGGCCCACATTTGGGCAACTATACTCAAAGCATCTAGAATCCCCTCCTGTAAACAGACACTTTTGGTTTATCAACCTACCCTCAGCTTTTTGGCGCTTCGTGTGGATTGCACATCCATTACCAGGAATGGCTCTGTGCAACTCTGTGCTTGATGTTGGCTACGAGCCATGAGCTTCTGGGCAATCGCTCCCAAAGAAAAGTCTGATACAAAAGTATGTACCATCAGAAGCCAAATGGGTTGGCACCCAACAATCCGGTTCCCACCGGGAGTATGATGGAAGCTGCGATTAGCAACTTAAGATAACTTAAGGCTGTACATTCTGTACATCTAAAGAGATTGCTTGACCATGCTTGACCTGCGAGTCTGGCTTTACGGCTATTCGTGAATCATCGTTAATCATTGGCCCAGCTGTGAGTCTTGTCTGGAACACCCAGCAACACCAGGCCCTGACAACGGTCCGCCAAGTTTGCAGGGCTTGGCCGATTTATTTGGTGCAAACAATCATCCATGATCTGCGCAACAACCAGGGTCTCATCCAAAGGATACCATGGAGATTCCAACAAACCTTTTGACAAACATTCCTCCACATGTCGCGCCTCATACATCATGCCTTCCCCATGAGGATAGCTCAAGCCAGGCCGTGGATGAGCCCACGTGTGATAAGGAAGCTCCTCCAATGGAAATTCAACCACTTCCTCTTCACAACAACCGGAACCTGGACGTGCGAAGGGATCCGCGGTACGATCCACGACCTTCAGCTTTGTCGGGGCGTGGGCCGGAGTTTCAACGCAAAGACTACCCTTTTCGCAAATGATCTCAGCAGTTTCTCCAGTGTTGCACGAGAAACCAAACGTCAAACTGGCCACGCCAAATGAAGTTCCAACCTTGGAATCGCCCGTGTGATCTTTATTATCCCATATGAGCGTTGCGCCACCTTGCAAGTCAACACCTGATGGTGATAAACGTCCTGCTGCAACTATGTGGTTGGGCATCTGGCCACCGAAGGCAAACACAGCCCACTGCACCGGATAAAAGCCAAGGTTCAACATAGCACCTCCACCCATCTCTTTGGAATGTAAACGGTGAGAGGCATCAAAAGGCAGGTAAAAACCAAAGTCGGCGCTGACAGCTCTGACAGGGCCCAATCTGTTGGAAGCCAGAATCTCTCTGACTCGCAGCGTGACTGGAAAGCAACGCGTCCACAAGGCCTCCATTAAAAATACACCAACTTTGCGAGCTTCAGCAACCAGATCCCTGGTTTCAGCCAGAGTGGTACACAAAGGTTTCTCCACCAACACATGTTTTCCAGCCCGGATGGCGGCCAAGGCCACTTGATGATGGGTTGGGTGAACTGTTCCGACGTAGACCATATCCAAATCAGGATCTGCAAACATCTCTTCATAGGAGTTGAAGCCTGGACTCGAAACAAAGGGGGAACAAGTCCCAAGCAACTCCACAAACCATTTACATCCCAAACTTGCTATTGGTGCTGGCCGTAGTATAGCACGTACATTTGTATACATACCATGCCATCCCATACCGTACCATATCGTACCGTAACATGCCATACCATACCGTACGTCGCGTCGCGTCGCATGACATTACATTACATTACATTACATCACATCACATTACAATACATGACATGACATGACATATGACATGACATATGACATACTATGACAGACACACATACACATAGAACTATACGTAAGTATATAATCATAAAAGTACCTATGTATGTGATGTATTAAGTGCATACATATCCATATAAGCATGTTGTGCTGAGGTATTTTATAGCTATACACAGCATTATACAGCCTAGTCCCATTTGTGTACAGTGATACGTGCACAGTTTTACCGGAAAGCTGTGGTTCACCAGCCGGGAAGCTGTGGCCGATGTTCTGCCCACAAGCAGCAAATTTCTGCACAAACTCCTGTGCTCCACTTCCACCTCGAGAAGCGACTGCATGGACACAAGAACCTCAGATGCTGCTGTGACTGTACCAGCGTTGCCTGCTCTAAAGTTTGTATTCAAAACGCACAAACTGGAGATGTGCTACTTCATGCTACTTATACATCCTTTGTGGGAAGAAAACATGTCTGAGGAGGCTTTCACCACAACAAGAATCCGTTTTGAAAGAGTCCAATGGCGAAGTCCGTTGAAATTTTGCCAGCTCCGCATATGCCCCAGTGAATTGGCCTGCGAAATAATTGTGACTGCACCGTATGCATCGCTATTTTTTTAGCACTGCAGTGGCAGTCGATACCCACCAGGGGCCTTAAAGTCTGCTACCAACTCGGGCCAAAGTTGCTGATGATATTCAAACCAATACTCAAGCTCCCGATTCTGCTGCGAACTCATTAGACTATTCATTCACCTAGATCTCCAAGCGGCCTGGACCCTTTTTTCCTGTGTCGTTCAGTCCCCTCAGGAAATGCCTTGCCTGATGTTCACTTTCAAAGAAGGTGATACTGATACTGCTTCTGGCATCGCTTCACACATCTACTACATTTACCCACCATTGCCCTCAAAACCCTCTGTAACATATGCTTTCATCCGCAATGTACAGCTACAGTAACTGGTTCTCTGAGTGTAACAGGGACTGCGAATGGCTGATCCAGCGCCAAGAGACTTGACAGCAGACATTTGCACCAAAGGTCGCCGCTGGACCTCTCAGCTGCACAGTCAAGGCTGGTCCACGGACAGCGCTAGAAGCAAACTGAATGGACCAATGGATGCAAGTCATCTTACTGCAATCCATATTGATCAAATGATCAGTCACCCATGGAATATTCGAAATCCAAATAATCATAATAATATATAGTACTCATGCCCCCGAAGACCAAACAACAGAACTGGAAATGCTTCCCAAAAGCGAAGCCTGGCGAAGCTGCATCAAAGCGCCTGGATCACCACAGCAACCACAAATGGAATTACTGAATTACTGGATGAGAAGGCAAAACCAAATCTTAGTTGTTTACTTTTTCAGTGTAGCCATGGCACTCCCACAGAAAATGGCTGCAGTTGAAATCCATGATCTGTCTTGAAAAATACAACTTCGGTGCACACTTACCAAAAGATTCAAGACAGATACTAAGTTGTTTCATCATGGTAGCCTCAAAGTTTTGGCCATATTTCATTTTGAGTGTCCTTTGGTTCTCGGTGTGGTTTTCTTGATGTACTTGTGGGACAGTTTTAAACGTAACACAAGAGCTCAACAAGTCGATAGGTATAAAGTTCAAACATTTCATGCAGTCAAGGTTCTGTCAGGTTCAATCTCTGATTCGGGTTCAGTCAACAGCCTCAGTGAGGCAGTGCAACGTCCTTACTGAATTACGTGTGCATTCAGCCAGATCCAAATGATGGCATCAAATCTATTGAAACAAAATCATCAGAGCTGCTCATTGCAAACAACTGCTGCGATCAAAAGGGCTCCTGGCAGCAGTTTCAAAGTCGTCCATCCATCAAAAACAGCACGGTTGTGTTTATCTGTAAGTACTGATTTCCCACATTTTTGTGTGTGTGTGTTTTTTGTTTTTGGTTCTGTATCCCGTCCGCCTCCTCTCCTCCTCCTTCCCCGCGTGCTTCGTCGCACACACTCTTACACATATTTTTCACACAGAACTTTGTCACACACAACTTTATCACACACAACTTTGTCACACACAATCTTTGTCACACACCATCTTTCACGTACAATTTTGTCACACACAACTTTGTCGCCCATCATCTTTGACACACGCCATCTTTCACGCCCAACTTTGTCGCACACCACCTTTCCCACACAACTTTGTCACACACCATCTTTGTGGCAGGCGTGGCACTTGGCGATATCCGATATCGACCAGCATTCGTTTTGCGTGGTAGGCGTGGCACTTTGGCACTGGGCTGGGTCTGGTGGTGCGCTTGGGGCCCGTTGGTCGCCCGGGGCGCTACGGCACTTCGTGGCACTTGGCGACATCCACCTACATTTTGCGTGGCAGGTGCGGCGCTTATGGCACTGGGCTGGGTCTGGTGGCGCGCTTGGAGCCCATTGGTCGCCCAGGGCGCCGCGGCCGGCAATTTGCGTGGCAGGCGAGGCACTTGGCGACACCCACCTGCACTTAGCGTGGCGTGGCATGTGGCGACAGCCACCTACGTTTTGCGCAGCAGGCGTGGCACTTATGGCACTAGGCTGTTTTGCGTGGCAGGCGTGGCACTTGGCGACATCCACCTACGTTTTCCCTGGCAGGCGTGGCACTTGCTCACATCAACCTTCGTTTTGCCTGGCAGGCGTAGAACTTGGTGACATCCACGCTGCAAGTGAGCCCATCTCTCTCAAATACGACTTTCCCCACATCTTTGTGTGGGGTTCTTGTTTGTGGTTCTGTATCCCGTCCGCTCTTCCGTCCTTCCGTCCTTCCGTCCGCTCCTCCTGCCCTCCTCCCCTCTTTCTCACACAACTTTGTCACACACCAACTTTGTCACACACCATCTTTCACACACAACTTTGTCACACAACTTTGTCGCACACAACTCTTCACATACAACTTTTAAGTTATCGATCCTCTGCCTCTACCATCTCCTTTGTCCTTTCTGCTTTCTCCTTGCTGCTTCAACCACTTTTTGTGATTATTGGAAGAATTTGACTTGTGGGGTTATCCGGCCCTTTAATTTTTTGACATTTTTTGCATGTTCCATGCTCTCCTCCAAGAACCTCATTCGGTTGCATGACCTCAGTAACCAGCACCAGCAGCAACAGAAGAATGACAATAAAAAGAACCATGGGAAACAGTATATATTAGCGTATATTTGTTGAGTGTGTGTGTATATATATATATATTTATATTGAATCTATATAGCGACGGGCAACTACTTAGACGCAGTTTTCTAAATTGTTTTTCTGCTTAGAACGTAGGCATAAATCAACACTTAGAACATAGGCATATTTTCAACACTTAGAACATCACCCAACACTTAGAACATAGGGCCAATTCAACACTTAGAACATTCCAAGTAGTTGTCCGTCGCATGTGTATGAATAGATAACATGATATGTATTTACACACATTTAGGTATACAGTATATATATATATATTGTCATTATTGACCTAGACATGTTCTAAGTGTTAAATTTTGGGTACGTTCTAAGTGATGAACTTATTCCCGCCATGTTCTAAGTGATGTAGCTTCTCATGTTCTAAACGTGACACTAAGAACGTCCCTCCAGCTCTAATGAAAAAATCCAAAATACGTTCTCAGTATTTGTTCTTCACTATACACATGTATGTATCTATTCGTTTTTTATTGATTTATCTTGAAGAAATTTTGACAATAATATTCCTGTAATGCCAAGTATTGTTATCATCACGGAAACTATCACAATCATCACCCTTCTCATACAATACCGCCATCATCATGTCACAAAGCAATCATTTTCTGATCTCCTAGGTCGCGGACATCGCCCAGGAAGATCATGGCAGCCACCGCTGCCCACAAGGGCTCGGAGGCAGCCAGCAGCGCCACGTCAGAGCCCTTGACGCGGCGTAGGGCCTCATTGGCCAACCACATCGTGAGCACCTCGGGGCAATGCCGGATTGCCGGGCTGGATATATCGGATATATGATATAAGTGAATTGAAATAATTGAATCATGAATTCCTCGTTCATGATCTCACAGGGCCTCCAAATTTTGCGCCAGTGTAGAAGCAGCAGCCGCAGCAGCAGTAGCAGTACCGTGGCAGGAGCAGCAAGAGGAGTAGTGGGAGGAAGCGTAGGAGGAAGAGTATGAGTACAACAGCTGGCAGGAGAAAGGCGAACTCAAGCACATGAAATTGCTGTACCTGCCGTGGGTTTGACATCAAAGTTGGTACGAGTAGTGCCCAGGCAAGGCAGGAGCGGAAGTTTCAGGGATTAAAAACCTACTATAGGGCAAAAGAAAACTGCGCCTATGGGATGTGCAAGACCAAGTGGGCGATGCTGAAATCGTCCGGACAGCTCTGTCAAGTGACTTCTCTTTCTTTTGCTATCAATTGTTCTTCACATCTCTTTCTACGACATCTCTTTCTCCTTCCATCTCTTGCCCTCGATTTGTTTCGTTCTCTTTCCTCTGGCACGCGTTTCTCTTGGCAATTTTTGCTCCTGGCGTCCCTTTCTCTCCATCTCTTGCTCTTAACATCTCTTGCCCTCGACACCTGTTTCTCTTGACATCTCTTGCTATGAGCTCTCGTCAGGCTCTCATCATTTCCTTCTCTTGACACCGTTTTCGTGTCCCTACGCCCCGCTCCGCTCCACTCTTCTCTTTCGGAATGTCGTCCTCTTCTCTACGCAATTCTTCTCTCTTCTGTTCTGCTCTGCTCTGCTCTAGTCTTTCCCATCCTAGTTTGACTTTTTTCACGCTGCTCTACTCTGCTCGTCTCTGCTCCACTCTGTGTGCTTCTGTATGTCATCAGGTTGCAGCAGGCAAGGGGCCGCCATGGCCCCTAGCTCAGCATCTTCGAGGACTTGGCGCGCAATCTTGCAGGATGAAGTTTGCCCTTGTCCTTGTAATGATTGTAATGGCCACACCTCACCCCATCATCGTGGATCTGGAACTTCCGCCAATCAGGTCAGGAGTCAACCACATGGAAAAAGGCTCTGCTTTGGGTGCTTTGCATTCGTCAGTATGCTGCTGCATGCTGTTCCGTTCGGCCTGCAAGCCATAGGCGACATTCTTCTGCCCTGCCGGCAAAATCGGCCATTTTACCAGGAACTATCACCTTTGCAATGGAAAGAGTAGATGCACAGCCAACTGCCCTCACCCCGCCAGCTTGAGCAGCGCAGCAAGCATGAGCAACCGCGGCAACTGCACACAGAACTCTGCGAGCACAGGCTCGAGCTTGCAACTACTTCGGTAACTGGTTTTTAGTGAGTTCGCGGAGACTGTTCTTGCACAACGCGTACGGTTTGTAAGGCAATTCATCAAACATCTTCTGGATACTTTTGGCATGTCTGCCGCCAGCCAAAGCCTTGTTGTTTGATCTGTATTCAGTTTCTATTGGCCATCATGCAGATGCAGGTGGATCTGCCCAGTGAACTTCTGCCATGTCGTCCCTTCATGTTTATTTGACTTGAACAAGTTTAACAAACATAGCCTCCGCAGAGTGGATGAAGAGCGCCGCTTCGACGCGTTTTGGGCATTGGAGCCGACACCTGCCCTGCAGCATGGCCGTCAAGCGGCGCGAACATTGCCTTGACCCTCAAAAGAAATCTGAGAGGGTTCAGCCAAGGATGCGGTTTCACAGTGTGGCTATTGTGCCTTCGCACACACCTGCAGTTGCGTGCAACAACCAAACGTACGATTGCATGCGTCCGCTATCTCTCGAAAACACATTTCGTGCGAGGCTTCCTGAAAAATTGCAAGTTGCCAGCTGGGAATCCGAAGCAATGGTGGTTTGTTGTGAAAGATGGTGATTTATGCTGATTTGTGGTGAAGTGACTTGTGAGATAGGGGTTTGTGGTCATTGTGAATGTCTAATGTCCGTAATTAACACAGAAGTTTATCTTCCAATTTAAAACGTCCTTTCATCATTCAGAACCCTTGAGGTCTGCACATTGCCGATGAGCGCGGAATAGAGCAGTGAAGGCATCAATCCCGGGGCTTGCAGGATGTCTGGCAGCTGCGAAAGCAGCCCAGTGACACCCTCCATGCCGCCCTTGGAAAATGTTGAGACCAAAGTCCATCCTAAGCACACTCTCACGGAATCTCACTGACAGAGCATGGCTGAACTGCTATTCAATATTCTATCTACAAGCAAGTGCTCGTTCCTCCAATTCCGGCAGTCTATTGAAGTAGTCATGCTTCAAAGGTCCTGCGCATTCAACTGGAAAAGCGGAAGAAGGAATCAAACATCTCAGGGTGATCACAGTGATCACGTGTCATCACCCAGTGGAACCATGACAATCCAATCACATCCAAGGGGCCGGTGCAGCCCAGGGCTGTCATGGCAAGTTGAAGAGCTGTGGAAGGCAGCGTGTCTTCCGGGAACTTTTTCCTTGGAGTACAGGTGCTTCAACACCTTCATGGAAACCCATGGGTTCTCGATGGTTGAGCCGCAACTGAAAACAAACATGGTTCGTAACCACACACGGAATGGGATCCCACCTCAACACTGTCTTGGGTACGAAAATTGAAGACGACCCATGAACGGCTTGATGCCGGAGGATTTTTGACATTCTTATTTGAGAAATGTTGAGATCACAGCCATCCGATATCATCTGATACACAAGTATATCACAAAAAGCTGTGCTTCAGTCAACCTTCCGGTGAGCAGGTTGTTCTTCCTGCGACGTCTTTGCCATCGGAAGTGGAAATCAAGATAAACCAGTTAAACACTTAAACCAAATATGTTTGCTGCGTATCGTTGCTAGGAGCTGCTAGGCGGCTGTTCCAAGCACCGTTTTCTGCAGCCTTTCATGAGCCAAGCTGCATGGTTTGTCCCAAGATAAACCATCCAGCTCCAAAGCACAAAGGTACCAAGCTGCAGATCAGATCACCTCACGGTCAAGCGAACATGCGGCAAGATGTTCTTCTGCCACTTGCTGATCCCTGGTGTTTGGTCCGTCTTTAAGAAGAATTGAATGGAATGAGCGAACCACCTAGACGAAAATCTACAACGTAGATATACCTAGATAATAGATGTTACTGATGTTACCAAGTGTGCTTCTGTGTCCAAGAAGACAAGTTTACACAAAATCCCAAAACACGTGGGAAAAAGATGCAAAAAACATTGAAAACGCGATGAGATTGTCCCGTCACCGGGAACCCTTCAGACGAAGCTACCGGGCGCCAGCTCGAGTGTATCGCCACCGGCGAACTCCAAGATGCCAACTCCTAGCTACGTTACTTGGACTCAGCGGACCAAGGGATTGGGGTCTACCACAGCAGCAGTCTGCAGGTGGAGTCCTGCTTTCAGACAGCTTTAGAATTATGCGGACAGCAAGCTGCTTGAAAGAATCAAATCCGTCGCAGAATCCGATAAAAATATATAAAAATCATGTTTGGGATCAACGTGTGGACCACAATAAATTGAAACCAAACTTCGACCAGAAACCCATAACAGCCCTTATATGCCCTTACAGCATCCCGTAATCATCAAACAGACACTGCTCCTGCCACGGCCAGTGCTGCTGCCGCAAGGGTTCCAATCTTGAACTGTCTGGCGACCACACAGGTGATGCCTTGCGGAATTTCTATAGGATGTGCCACAGTAGCCACGGCTAGAAATATTAGCGGACTGTGCAAAGCAGCCTCGTTCATCTTGTTGCACATGGGCCAAACATGGCCAAACCATCTGATCCTCGTAAAACCGTCTCTGCAAAAGGTTGTAGTTGTAATTAACAAAGAAGGAAAAGGTTTTGACACGTCCAGTTGAGAGAGAACAAGCAACAATCAACCTCTGAACCCCCCGGTGCCTGCACACACAACGGCTTGTAGAGAGCCAAAGAAAGACGTCTTCGCAGCGCTGGTGCCGAGGCCCATAGCCAAGAACATGGCCATGTAGGCTGGCCAACGAGCTGCACTCTGAAAGTTCTGATGGCAAGTGAACTTATCACTGGATTGACAAAGCACCTGAGGGATTGTAGTGGCCAAAAAGAGGACTTGTGCATACTTATGTATACTTGGTAAGACATGGTAAGACTGCACGTCAGGGTGACGAGCCTGCACCATAGCATCCACCAACTTTCATAGATCCGAACCTTAGGAAAAAATTACTTTGCTTCACAAGACTTCCAGGGGTCTTGTTCGGTCCTCTTTTTCGACCGTTGAAATCTTTCTACACCAACAGCAGCCCTCCTTCCTTCGAAGGTCAAGGTTGTTCTTGAGGCCGAGCCACATGCTCTCCAGCGAAGATGAGGAAAACAACCAGGGCGACAAACAGAGAGTGGCCACTGAAAAGCGCAAAGCGCCAAATAGACAGCCTGGGTCCTGACCAACGGCATGAACGAAATCTGGAGGTTTCCATAGTCATGGGGGATCCCCAAAAATGGATGGTTTACCAGTAGTACCGCACAAGGCGGCGGCGGAAGTTTCAAAAATAAGACTATAGGAGAGGTTGGTTGTTGTGAATCACGGATGGCAGAGCGAAGCCACTGATGGACCGACAGGTGGTTGAGGTTTCTTCTCTTTCTCTCTCTTTCTGTTTCTTTCTCTGACTATCTACCTACCTACACACCTATCTATCTATGTATCCATCTATCTCTCTCTCTCTCTCTCTGTCTGTCTGTCTATCTACCTACCTATCTATCTGATCCGATCCGATCCGATCCGATCTGATCTATCGATCGGATCTATCTATCTATCTATCTGTCTATCTATCTATCTATCTATCCATCCGTCCATCCGTCCGTCCGTCCATCCATCCATCGATCCATCGATCCATCGATCCATCGATCGATCGATCCATCCATCCATCCATCTATCTATCTGCAAGCTTGCAAACGAAGCTATTCTGCGAGACTTCCTCAGTTTTTAAAACTTGACAACATCAAAAACGCAGCAATTCAGCGAGACTTCCTCAATTTTTGCACTTGACAACATCAAAAACGAAGCAATTCTGCGAGACTTCCTTCAAAAATGGAAAGTTGAGTGGAGAGCTGACGGCCTCGTACCAATGCGTGTTGCGATTTTTCCAGTCCATCTGTCTAAACTACTGCGCCTGCCACGAAAAAGTGATGCCAGGTCATACGAAGTGCTGCACCTGTCACGCAAAATCATCTCAGCAAACCTGAAAATCTGAGGCTCCAAAATGCAACCCCTCTCAGGAAATCAGCGCCCGGACCTCCTAACAGCTTTGATGAACATGTCTCTTGTACTGCGCCTGCCACGGAAAATGCATCTTTGCAGAGCCTCTTCAAATGCCCCACGCCTGCCATCGTTTTTGGAAATGCTACAAAACCCTCACGTTTTGCTCACTTTTGACAAGGTCCACAATCCCTTGCGCCTGCCACGCGGAACGATATCTGAAAGTCCAAAAATGGTCCGAACCCCTGGTGCTTTTGACATTTTGACTTCGAAATGTGCTTCGCGCCACAACGGCGTGCGCTTTTTCGACATCTCAACTTCCAAAAGCGGTCCAGACCTGGTGCTTTGTACATTTTGACTTCGAAATGTGCTTCGCGCCACAACGGCGTGCAATTTTTCATCTCTCATCTGGCCAGCTGGCTCCGCACCCGCCGCTCTAGCGAGCCTACTTTTCGACCCTCTGGAGCCACAAATCATTGGAAAAACACAGTTTCGCGCGACTTTCCTACCTTTTCGCGCACCTGCATCTTCTTTCTTCTGACTCTTTCTCTTCTCTGATCTTCTCTCTTCTGCTCTCTTCTGCTCTTCTCTTCTCTATTCTTCTGCTCCACCTCTGCTTTTCATCTGTCCATATTGTCGGAAGTTTGACTTCTAAACTTCCTTCGATAATGGAAAAAACCATTAACATAGATGATTTATTTAGGGCTACCCCTATTTTTGTGTAAATCGCTGGTGGAACGTTTCTCTGCTGACACTGCAACGATTCTTGTACTGCCAAGGCCTCAGCTCCAGTGGATGCGAGCGCATCAATGCCAGCTTTGGAAGAAACAATGCTACCTGGGCTGACTGATGTTAGCTTGAAGATCGGGGCATGATCCTACCACGCGCCGGTCCTTCTGATCCTTTCCTTGTCTCAAGCAATCAAGCACACAAACTTTGAGGCTTGACTTTTTGGGGTTCAAAACACCAACAAATGGTCTTGCACATGACTTTCACTGGTACCTGATTTTGTCTGAAGATGTCCGAAATTGCAGCTGGGTTACCACCCCACATCATCGCATTGAACATACCTCGTTTCAACTGAAAGGAATGCCACTGACCACATGCATTCCATCATTGACACATTGGAAAGCTGCGTGATGATGGAATATGTGCAACACCGCATTCACAACCGCAACGGGAAATGCTGGCCATGATCATGTGCGGTGCAAGCGAGGCCCGCGCTGATACCTTTCCTAAGTCAAGGATTGTAAGAGGCTCACATCTGGAACAATAGCTGGCAAGCCGACACCGATGGTGAAGCCGAGATTCCACAAACCTTCACTTTCCAGAAAGTTTTCAACAGGGGCTTCTGCTGATAGTACTTCCGCAGTGCCGTCTGCTGCTACTGCTTGTTGCGGCAAACTCCTGTCAAATGCTTCAGTTGTCAGGCCACTGCGAATGAACGATGATGGGAACAGTGCGGTCTGTTGTAAATTAACGCAAGCATCAGCACGTATAGCTGCTATAGCTGCTATACTATAGCTGCAACAAGATCCTTGTGCTAGCGGTTTGCCAGCCCGGCACAAAGCCGCCATCATTTGCCGAGTGCACACAGCACCTCAAGAGCATCTCAAAGCCAAAGAGAATCTGAGTTGCAGTTTGCTTTCTTGGGGAACATACTGAGCAGTTGAAGCCAGTACTAATACATCATCTTTAAAGCTCAAACACCTCATTGATCTAATGAGTCATGAGAAAGTCTTGCCAAGCACGGCCGCGGCAACTGTTATTATGGGTTGAACGACTGGATGCCTCAAATACCCGAAGGTACCGGACACCGCAGCCAACGGGACATGATCAATTCATGTTTTCACGCACAGTGGCCCTGACCCGGGCCATGTGGTGAAGAACCGCTCTATCATATGCATCACACCCACGTGTGGGCCAAGCAAGACGATTTTGCAATTCATCTTCAGGGACCTCAGGGCGGCCGGAAGACAACTGTTCGGCGGAGCAATGCCAGGAGAGATGTTCCCAGACAGGTGGGATTTGCTCACCGCAAAAGGGACATTGTTCCCTCACTTCGTGTCCACGCATCTTATCATAACATGCCGTGGAATGCGCAGAACCAAGCATAACGGCCCTCTGATGACTATCACACGTGAGAGAGAACAACTTGCGGGCATCGGAAACACGACTTTCCTCATACGGCACATCAAGCAAATAATGCCTATCACGGCGGTTCTGCTTTTTCCAAAGGGCAAATTGCACTCGGCGCCAACTTTCTCTCACCTTGTGCTCGGTGAGTTTCACAACAGCTTCATCTGGATTGGATAAATCGACATGACCCAAATCCTCATGTGCAAACATCCATGGACCGCGAAATTCCCAGTTCAGCTCTCGCATGCGTGCGCAAATGAAACTCTGCCAGCCTCCAGGTCGTGGCATCCTTCGCCAAGGGGCACGAACTTGGCGCATGGTCCGAATGGAAGACATGGTGGCCCAAAACTCAGCATGATACATATGACCTACAAGCAGGTTGAAAAGAGGTCTCGAAGCGTTACCTTGCAGATAGGAAATGGCATGCCATGCCTTTCGAAGCGAAGGCAACTGTGACTGCGGCAATCGTTCAAACCAAGCGCCCCAGGTGGCGAGTGAAATGATTCTGGACCTGTACAAAGACATCCTGATATCGCGGGCAACCGGCAATTTCTGCAAACGGTGAGCGGCAAACACTGCTTCTTGCAAACGGTTTTCAAGAACAGGGGAAACAATAAGGTCACTTTCCTTAAAGTCAATACCTAAGACCCGAGTGGCCGGTCGGAGATACTCACCAAACCCTGCGTCATTGATCTCTTGCTTTTGTTGCGCAGTGCAGGCAACTAAACGCATTTTTTGAACGTTTTCATGGAGACCCAAAGTGGCACTCCAGCTGCGCCATCTATGGATGCCAGCAATTAAACGTGGAACATTAGGCGCGCTCAAAGCGCGATCATCAACGTATGCAACCTGACGCAAGTCTGGAATGGAAGACACATCATGAAGGGGCCTAATGAGCAACATGATAAGAGCCAGAGGTGCAAAGGCATCACCTTGCGGCATGGAGGTCTGGACATGCTCCGGCGTTGGGTGCACAGCTTTCCCCAAGCACAGCCATCGCACTTGATGACCCCATACAAACATCAAAATGTTAGCCCACTCATCTGGCAACCCTTGCAGTTGCATGTTTTCAATGGCCAAACCTGGGTGGACAAAATCAAAACATTTGGAGAAATCTAAAGAAGCAAGAACTTCCTGGTTTTCAAACGCTTCATTGAGTTGCCTCCATGCCGTGGCAACCCCCCGGGATTTCAAGCCTCCATGGCACTGCTCGGGGACCCGAGACGCAATCCATTCCTGAACCTGTGGGGTCCTCACATAAGATGAGGAGACCAACCGAAGAAAAATGCTTTCAACTGCAATAGGCCGCAAAGACCCTACAGTCCCACCGTCATCCTTTCTTAAATGAACCTGACGAACCTGCAGCCATGCCTGTGGGAATTGTTTTAACTGAGACCAATGCAAAACCAAATCACGGTAGTGATCCCAAGCAACAAGCGGGAAATGGCAAACTTCGCTGCCGGACCAACCGTCACATCCGGCTGCAGACCCCGAGGCTCTGAGAGCGGCCTGATGGATGAGGGCAGCATCTGGCATCCAATCAGTTTGGGGTCCAGCCAGGGCTTCCATTGTTCTAAATTCCGGGGGTAAGTGTGGAACGAGGTCATCACGTTTCCAAATACGCTGCCAAAAAGAACGAATACAATCAAGGGTTTGCGTGATCGTGGCGCAAGAATCTTCGGAAACAGAGCGTGGTGTTGGAGGTTTGTGAGGCTTCATCCACCGGGTCACCTCTTTGCCCCCCTGGCGCATTCTGGTACGCCACTCGGTCAGCCTTTGGTTCTTGGACTTCCTGTTTTCAAGCGCAATGCGTTGTTCAAACACTTCAATAGCGTGGTTCCAAGACCCCCAAAGCTCATTGTATTCAGACGGCCAAGTCGACCATAATTTTTGCAAAAGCTTTTTGTCTCCCTGGGACTTGGCTAACTGTCGCTTCACTTCATAGAGACGACCAAGCACATTAACAAGTTTTCTGGCAGGGAACGTATTCACCTGGGGGCGCTCAGCCTTGATCACACGAGGCAAATTCCCGCGCGCATGGCCTGGCCTAGGCACGGGCTGGCCACACAAGTGCAATGCTTCACGCATGCTCTTTTCAGCAAACTGGTGAAAATATGCCCAATCTTGGTCGGGATCCTGAGAAAAACATGGCACGTAAGCGGCCCATTGTTCTGCAAGCACGGCCCGCCATTGCTCAACAGGCACTTCCGGAGGACATTCATAGTTAGGCCGCCAAGCGAACCTCCACGTATCAGTCTGGAAAATGGGCAAGCGCAATCTAAGCCAAAACATCTTGTGATCAGAAATCTTACATTCACTGTAACGCGGGCAATCAGCAAAACCGTACCCGCCGCTGAGAATTCCGTAATCAAGACATCTTTTACCTTCGAACCGGCTAGGCACCCATTGATCAGGATCCGTGACAGCCAGAACACTGCCATTCAAGAAAATGGATGCGGCGTTGTCATCAGGAGTTTCGTTCCAATCACCTACCCAAAGTGCAGGTATCTGCCTGCGTTGTGCTTCTTCAGTGACCGTAGCAACATATTCCAAAAATTGCAAACCATCAAGTTGGCTTGGCCGGCGCCAAACTGAGGAAAGTAGGCACGATTGAAGATCCAAAGTCATGACATACCCTTCATCGCAAGCCAGTGTGTCCCAGATGCCTCCTCTGAGATGCTCTCGCAATGCAACCAAAAGACCACCTCGGTAAAATTCACGTTTAAGTGTGCGAATAGGTTTGGCCGGAATGGTCCAACACTTGTACCCAAGTTTCTGAAGCCTTTCAACATACTGGGAGCCTTGACGAGGCTCGAAGTCAGGCTCTTGAAGACATAAAACAGAAGGCAAATTACCCTCATCCTGAAGCAAGTTTAGGCCCCTCCAAGCATTGCACGATCCACGGCAATTCCACGAGAGAATCCAGTGGTCAGGGTGGCCTGGGCCTGGATGGGGGTGTATATTCTCAGCAGTCAAATCGCGTTTCCATGACTTAGGCGGCCACTTCTTGCGCGACTTTTTCTTGGCGCTAGCCCAAGCATCATCAAGCTTCCTACGCTCAGTAGCACTCAAACGCCAAGCCTTGTGCAGCGCCTCTTGGCGCTCTTTGGGAGCCTGACGCCAGCATTTTTGGCGACCAGGCATGGCTAACCACTCGGCACGAGCAGTCCGCCCGCCACAAGGACCTGCAGCTCTCACGGACTTCTCAGTTTTCCAGTAACCAGCACAAATGGAACAAGCATGCTGAGCCATGAAGAAAATAACTTTTTTCGACCCACCAGCCAATTTTTTCGTTCCAGTAGTACGTCTCTGCACTTGGGATAGGGAGTGTCCTTGCTCCTTGGCAAACTTGTTGAGTTGCACATACATCTGGCGATGCTTCAGCTTCCAAGGCAAAATGCTTCTGTGAGGTACATCAGATGACACGCTTGCTCTCTTGCAAAGGCGAAGAATGGAGTCGCCTCTGGTGGCCCCTTTTGGGGCCTTGGCGCAGGAGCGCAAATGAGCAACGATTGATGCTTTCTGATGTGTCTTAGGCAAAATGGGGAGGGTGCCCATGCAAAAACCACAAGTCCAAGAAACAGCAGCATGAGTGGGCCCATACGATACGGCAGTAACCGGAGCCCTGTACTGATCAACAGCCTTTTTAAAATTGGTGGTTGGGGTACCACGATGCGTACGCCTAATGTGATCCGTACGTCTTTTTGAAACGATGCATGCTTTGTCAGTGAAAGAGACATTGCAAATGTGACATGTCCACGTGATTTCCCGGTCGCGCCCAGTGGCAACAGACGCAGAAGCTGATGCGGCAGATGGGTTGGAACCACATGGCTCGGCTTCTGATTGCTCGGTCTTTTGACGGCTCGGTTTGGCCGTTGATGCAAAACCAGTCAGACATGCACTCCGTTTGGCAGGGGTGCTTTGGGCAAAATCGGTCAACCTTGGGCTTGGCCTGCTGGATTTGGGAGTTGCAAATTGTGAAAGGCAAATAGAGGCATTGTCGGCAGCCAAGCGTGCCTTCTTTGCGGCCCCGCGGTAACCCTTGGTGCCACCGTCTTCAGCATTCTGCCACAGGGCCTGAATATCTGCGTCTGAAGGAACAATAAGCTCATAATGTTCATCCTTGTACCAGAGACAGACAACATCCTTATCGCCATGACTATTAAAAGCATGGACAACATTGTCCTTGGCATGCACAACAAGTACAGGTCGGCGCATGGCTTCGCCATATGCTTCGATTTCACAATATCCCGCCCAAGCTTTATCTTTTTCAAGGGCTTGTAAATAATCGTCAAACCCACCCTCCATGGGAATGTTGCTCGGGCTTAAACCGTCCCAGAAATCCTCGTATTTCTTGAAGTGTTTGGTCATGTAGGCAACAACAAATGCACGCACCTGCCTGTGGCTGCGGGACTTACCTGGGGTAGACTCCGCCTGAGCTAGACAGTAAAACAAGCAATTCCCTTCCCCAGGGTTCGGAACTTTTTGAAGCCTCTCGGGCACTTTCATCCTCTTTTTGTCATGACCAGTTTTTTGCGGGCTGGTCAACATGGCCTGGTCTTTGCGTTTGGTGCCCTGGACATGCATGGGCTCATCCTCAACATCACTTGCATCTGGGACGCTAATCAGACTGACATCCATAGCTTCGTTACCGCGATCATCCTTGGAGGGAAATGGAGGTGGACTACTTTTCGGTAAGGCAAGCGTGGTTGCAAAGTCAGGCACTTCAAGCTTGGATTTGTGCTTGCCTTTTCCTTTGCCTTTACCCTTACCTTTTTTGTGAAATGCATCTAGTGAAAAGAGCACATCATTTTCTGCTTTCAACGGCTGGACATTTCCTGGCGCACGTCGTTTGGACTGCTTAACTAAAAACAGATCTAATGGTGGCTCATTGCACGTCTCGTCCGCATCATAATGGATTTGCATTTGATCACGGTCATCATTTCTCATGCCTTTGAAAACCCAAGCAGTGCCACCACGACGGCGTTGCTTTGCTAAAATATCAATTTCAGAGAAACCTGCTTCAACCAGAGTTTCTTCCACATTTTCAAAATCCCAACCAAACGGCACTGTCTCAACCCGCCAAACACTAGAAGTGGGTTTGAGCCGCTCATCGTCTGGTTTGACCCTGAGAGCCAGCTGTACACGACCCCTAGCCATGCCAAAAGGACCCGAATCATGAGCTACGCGACGAGCAAATGCAATTTGTTGTTCATTTTCCAATTTGTCCACCCAAAGCATGCGTGGAGGTGTTTCTGCGAGGCCATCCCATCTGGCAGGATCAAGAAACCAAACCTGACCTTTGTGTTCTGAGCCGCTCGCTTTAATCAACTGCAGGGCCCTGTCTTTGCCTTTGACGCGAGCAAATCCTCGAACCAGGTTTTCAGCCTCGAGTTTTTGGAATCCCCACGTGTCACCAAGGTGAAGCAGAAGATCCCTAGCGTTTGGGCCTAAATCAGACAGCCACAAACGAAAAAATTTCCCAGGTCCCTGTGTGATATGATGGCGATTGTCACTGGCAATAAATCGCATGTCACAACTAATTCGAAAAACAAAAGACTCTTCATGGCCGTGTTTCTGGACAACAGGCCGCCTGGCGCCTGTCAGCACGGATCCTGGAACCAATGTGGGTGCATTTGGCGAGCACCGCGCAATCCAAACCAAGCGCTGGACCAATTTATCATCGGCATAACCAGCTGCACGTGTGTTCAAGGCTGTCCAACCATGATATCTCAATTTGCCAAGTTCTGGAGACATGTTAGGTGCAGCTTCAAGAACAACCGTGACATTGGTGCGACCAGCAGCATGAGAAATTTGGAGGGCTTCATTCCAATCATCCAGATTTTGTACTTGACACAGGAGAGCACCGGTGTCCCCACTGTCAAGAGCGTTGCACAGAGCTGTGGGGCCACGCAAAACAGTTTTGACGCCCCAGTCCTGGGCACGGGCTTTCCAGGATCTGTCGCGTTGCCATCGTGTTTTTGGCTTAGGAGCACCATCTACCAAATTTTCTGAACTTTTGAATCGTGTGCTTGGTTTCACTGGCGGGACCGCCTCATGCGGCGGCAGATCTTTCTTTCTCTTGTTTGGTCGCAACATACCACGTTCAGTAACTTGAACCAATGTTTTCAACCTTTGGAGCAACCCTTGTGGTTTCTTTGCGGCTCGGGCAGTTAGCTTTTGCAAGGCTTGAATCAGCCCATAGCTGCCATCATGGTTCGCATCTCTCTGTTTGGAAGGTAGGCTTTTACCACTACTTTTGCCGGAGCCCTTACCCTTGCCTTTTTTGTTTGAGGCTCCGGAGCTAGAGGCCTGCAAAGTACAACAAAATCTGCAAACCTTGCAGCAGTTTCTGTTCCGGTGTCTCTGGACTGTTTCTACGACCTCCCCCGCGGAAGGAAGATCTGGGCCGGGAGGTTTGCGAATGCTCAGGCATGTTTTGACAGAATGGGCAAAACTGCGCACGTACGCAAAAGGACAGGAAACGGCCTACCCTATTAAACAAACTGACTCTTGGCTTTCGGATGCACTTACGATGCAATCGGCAGCGCTTTCGGCCAACTCTTCTGCACTTGAAGACTTTCTTTGGCCTTGCATTCAAATGGTGAAGTGACAGCATTATCCTGAAAACAGCTAATGTCACCAAATCGATGATGTCAACCCCTAAACCAATCAAAAGCAGATTCACAAAAGAAGGTTCAGTCAACAGCTTTCGGAAAAAGAAAGCGATGACCATGATCTTGCATGCCAGATGACAGAACCACAGCAGCGCTTTCTGTGCATTCCATGTGAGGAACCGATGCATTGAAAACAACATTCGCATGAGCATGATGCCAAGGAGTGCTATTCCACAACCTACTATTCTCTTCTTTCCGCACATCAGGACAAGGACCTTGTAGGCCCCGGCGAAAACGAAAGAGAGGCTGGTCGGATTGGACAAACAAGTATGCAAGCAAAATACGACCGCGGCATTTCGCAAAAAGTGCTTCTGCATGTATGCAACAGAAGCATCATGTCTGGTTTGGAAACTCCAAATGACGGCTTGTCTGAAACATCGCACACAAATTAAACTGAGGCCTAAACAAACAAGATCGGCACCTGTGAATTGAAACTGCTGGCACCACTGTGACATTGCAGAGACAACCTCAGCTATCTGAGGCCTTTGCGTGACATGGCAAAGAGATCGGTTGCAGAAAACCAACCCAGAAATCATCATTGTAAAAACGCTCCCCCATGAAACAAGCTTGCATGTCCTAGTGGAGCAAAATTGCCAAAGGGTCACGAAATAATAAGACATCATCGCCACAGCTGACAGCAAACCATGATTCCAAGTTGGTTTGAAATCCGTGTCAACCATCTGCGCAACGCAATTCACCGGTATTTCGAATCCAGGAGTTGCCTGAAAACCATCCACGGTGTGTCCAGAAACACACGAAGCATGAGTCTGCAAAATCATGGCTTTGACGTGGAAGAATACAAAAGCAGCAAAAGAGCCCCAAAGGTCCCACAAATGCATCCAAGCAGTGGACCACATAGCCACGAAGCGCTGATAGAACTTGAAGCTCCACGGTGACTCAAGCCAGCAAAAACAAGCACAACCTGTTAAAATCACCATAATCTTCAAGAGAGGCCACCACACTTTTCTCCCACACACAGTTTTCCTCACCAAGTTCACGATGTGGAAAATCCGGCTCCAACTTTGCATCATCCATTCAATCTTACCGGCTTTACTGCACAAACGTCTTGAAACCGCAGCCATACCCATACACACACCAGAAAAGATTGCAAGGACGTCAAAATTCAAATTCAATGCAACGAATTGATACCTCACGAAGTAGCTAGCACAAAAAAAAGGGACAGTGAGTAAGATGCAATACACCCGGCATTGCACAAACCATTGTCCATCGTCATCTCTGTTCATCTCACCCCCGCAGCACAGGGCCAGCACCGCCAGCATGGCTTTGAACAAGCCCGCCATGGCTTTAAAAGTGCGCCCGAAATGCCTATTTGCTTGGCTACAAACCTGGGCGGCTTGAGCCAATCACCTTGAGCCAAAATGGCTTGAGCCAAAATGGGGCGTTTCCAAAGCAACTGAGATCTGTTTTGTCTCAATTCAAGGATTATATGAGTTTGTCTGAAGATAGATCATCATAGATCATCATCTATTCCCTATTAAAATGTCCATTTTGGGTGGGTCAATCCTCCATCTTCAGACGCACCCAATGGACCAGTTGTCCACCATGCTCACCCTGCCTCCATAAGCAAATTCCGAGGAAGGCCAGGAAGAAAGTCTGCAGGGACCCAGCGCCCCGGCTCTTGATCATCCAAGCTATTCCAAAGTGGCATTTCCATATTCACAGTGTTTCAAACAGTTTCTATATTGATTTGTCCAGACATTCAGCCATAGATGGTACGTTGCAGGTGGCATTCCTGGTGGTCATCATTCCAGTTCGTCGAGCTCACATCCGGTCTCCCAGCCCCTCCATGGTGTCCCACCTTTCGGCGTGCAGCTCTGTGAGCCATTGACTTAAAAGCGTCAAAACTGTGAAAAAAACTGAGCCAAAATGGCAACGCCAATGCATTTTTTGTATGTTGCCAGAATGTTGCGTGCTGTTGCAATTGACTCTCTCTCTCTCTCCCTTTCAGTATGCGAAGGAAACAGTCGGGTTATGAGCTTCGATTACAGTATCTTTGACAACAATCAAAAGTACGTTGCCTTCCCACCGTCTTCCAGTCTCTTCTTGTTGGTGTCAAAGTCACCTCAGTGGGTCGTGCATCTACAGCTCTTGTGAGTCACACGACCATTCTCAAGGCTGTCGAGTCCGCATCAAACGAAGCTCAAGTTGATGATCTATCTTCTTGCAATGTTTGGGGAAAAAAGGCTTGTCAAAAGAGTCAAAAGTGATATGATTGAAACCTTTATGTTGCCAACTTTGCCAACCCTTAATTCCGTTCCAAATCAGCTTCGTGCTCTCGATGGACTTCATGGCATAGGTCTGGTAGTCCTTCCGGTCAGCATGAGCCACATTCTTGCTACAAGTACAGTACAGTATGTCTAGGTCTCAGTGGGTCAATGGAGCATGGCATTGCCTTCCAAAAAGCAAAGACGTGTTCCACACCTTGGGAACGTACTTCTTCACAGTGTCCGACCTGTTGCATGAAGTCTTCTCTCTGGTCTCCATGGGACCGGCATCTGGTCATCTGGTCCAACTGTCCAGGCCTTGCTGTGAACCACTCCTTGAGCTCCTTCATTGTGGTGCAATCCTGGGAACTCACGTCAGAGGTTGGAACATGCAAATACTCAGATCTTGATGTTGAACTTCGGAGCAACTTGGGTATGGCTGGGTCAGAGAATGGGATTATATGCCATTGGAAATGGTTTATGGATCCCAAACTCTTGGAATCTTGACTAATCCATCATAATCCATTCATCTTTCACATCCGACCATTCCCCCCGTGTGGCCCGTTTGGCGCACCGCGGCATTCTGCGGCACCGGCGCAGGAGTTGGCCTCCAAATTGGGTCTGCATGGCCAATGCCCACAAAGAATCATCAAGCATCTGGGTACCAAACGCTGCAGGCTCTGCTGCCACCAAGACCTGATCAGCTGCTAAGTTGCCATCGCCACTAAGATGGTCTAAGTATGGCTAGATTTGTCCAGAAAATGCATGGAAAAAAAATGGTAAAACAGGGGAACTGGGACAAGACAGGTTGGAGGTCAGGTGGGAGGCTGTTATGTTTTTGTTCAATGTTGTAAATCTAAATGTTTGACTGTTTCTTTCTGTTAGAGTGCTTTGTTCTTGTCCAGATTGACCCATCTAATGCCTCTCTTCTCTTTCAGTTCATACTTTTTGTAGTCCATTGTCTGCCTAATCTTGTTGAATTTTGTTATCAACCTCTTTGAAATGGGTTTCCCCCTTTCAAAGTTGTAGGTCTTGTCTCCAATCTTGAGTTTCTTGAGTTCTTCTCCATTCCGTTTCAATATCTCACCCTTTTCGGATGACAAAAGATAATCTAAAACAATCTGCTGTGAAGTGTCCATTATAGTATAATCTATATTATTATTATTATCATTATTATTATCATTATTATTATTATATTTTGTTTCTTTAAGTAGTTTTTCAGTGTGAATTGTTTGTTGAGGATGTTGCGGATGATTGGATTGTTGGTGGATTAAGTTTTGAGATAAATTTTCATTTTTTAACCTTACACCCTCTCCCATATTCTCCTTAATATATAAAACATCATTTCTTTAAGTAGTTTTTGGGCTCTCGTTCAGTTTTTAGGTCATTGGGTTCTGGGTTGAAGTCCAACGTGAGGACACCGTCGTTTGACTTGATAAATTGTTTTAAAGAAATGGCAACTTATGGTAAATATAGGTATGAATAGGTATGAAAACGGAAAGATTTACAAAATTACGGATGTTGGATATAATAAATGCTATATTGGGAGCACCTGTGAAAGTTTGAGTAAAAGAATGGAAAAACATAGAAAACAATATAAGGAATACATCAAAGGGAGGATGAAAAAGAAGACAACCGCAATAGATATATTCAATGAATTCGGTATTGAGAATTGTACGATTGAACTGATTGAGAACTACCCGTGTCAAAGTAAGGAAGAATTGTTCAAAAGAGAAGGGGGACATATCAAAGCAACAGAATGTGTCAATGGACAGATTGCAGGTAGGACGCAACAGGAGTGGAAACTGGACAATCCAGAGCAAGCGAGAGAATACTATGAAAGAGGCAAGGCACGTGCCAGAGCATACTATCACAAACATAAAGAGGAAATAATAGAAAAACGCCGTTTGAATGAAGAGAAAATAATAGAACAACGCCTTTTGAAGGTTGAATGTCCGTTTTGTAAGCGTTATTTTTTTCAATACTATGCTCTATGGCATCAAAAGAACAACTGTGTCAAACAAACGGGAATGGACAATGAATAGATAAAACATTCTGATTAAAAAAACGTTGTTAATGAGAAGGTTTTATTTTTAGTGTTGTCTGCTGTTCATACATCTGTTGGTTTGACGGTGTTTTGATAGATTGGATTTGCTTGTGATGGTTCGTCCGCAGTCTGGACAGGTGAAAGGGGTTGATAATTTCTTTTGATAATACTTTGAAAAATAATTGGGGTCTAATGGTTTCTTGTCGTAAGTTCCGTCGGGTTTCCATCTTGTGGATGTTGTGGTTGGTGGATTTTGAGGGTTGCTGGATTGGTGTAGTGCTTCCGCCATTTGGTCAAAAAGGTCTTCGTCCATTTCTTGCTTCATACCGTTAATATACATATAGCAGGGCATATTCAATTCTTGATTCTATAAGGCGTCAATTCTTTAAGTGTTTTTGGGGTCTGTTGCTCTAAACATTGTGTTTTTAACAAGTGTCCTAAATTGATGTTTTTTGAACGCTAAAACGATGGTTTTAGGACACTTGTTGAAGTAAGGATTTTTTGTCTTCAAAAGTTCAAGGTGAAACGATTTGTCCGTGTTTGATGGTTTGGCTATAAAAGTTGAGGGTGAAACGATTTGTCCGTGTTTCATGTTTTTGTCAAAAGTTGAGGGTGAAACGATTTGTCCGTGTTTGATGGTTTGGCTAAAAAAGTTCAGGGTGAAACGATTTGTCTGTTGTTGCTTGTTCGGTGAATGATTGATACTCGGTTCTGGGTATCGTTGATACTTGGATACTGGTATCACGGTATCATTGATACTCGGTTCTGGGTATCGTTGATACTTGGATACTGGTATCAGGGTATCATTGATACTTGGTTCTGGGTATCGTTGATACTTGGATATTGGTATCTGGGTATCATTGATACTCGGTTTGGGGTATCATTGATACTCGGTTCTGGGTATCATTGATACTCGGTTCTGGGTATCATTGATACTTGGATACTGGTATCAGGGTATCATTGATATTCGGTTTGGGGTATCATTGATACTCGGTTCTGGGTATCGTTGATACTTGGATACTGGTATCTGGGTATCATTGATACTAGGCTCTGGGTATCGTTGATACTTAGATACTGGTATCTGGGTATCATTGATACTAGGGTTGGGTATCTGCGGTTATGCATGCAATACGTGAAAATTACTCTTGGATGACTCACCCACAAAACATCTCAAGCGCCACAGTTTTTTTTCACCGGCGAAGCTCACATGTATCCTGTAACTTCTGCTCATCCTCTTCAAAGAGCTTGGCGACGAAATGCCAATGCTTCAAAGCCACCCTTAAATAAGTTGTACTCCTCAGGACGCAGTCTGCTGGCTCCTCACGAAGAAGATTCAAAGTCATTTTGGTGTCTTCGTCGCTCTCTGGGAGATACCACATGGGTCCTGCCCCTGCCACCTTGAGGAGATAGTCCTTCACTCCCTGGTCATCCAATTTCTTTTCAATTGGTTCCACCCTCCGGTTGTACCACTGCTCAACCTGCTCGATGACCGCATCCGCACCTTTCTGACCTTCTCTGGAGACGTCTTCCAGTATCAAGTCCAAGGCGCGCAAGTTGCCCCCCACGCGGATGTAGTAGTGCTTCAACACCTCGTCCATGTCATCTTCGGCAAGAACCTTGTTCAGCGTCCGGAAGTCGTTTCCCTGCTTTGCCACCTCCTTGACCACAGATGTGAAGTCTTCGAAAGGCAGCGGTCGCACCACAACCAGCCTTGACATGTCAAACCTTTCGGTGATGATGTCGGCCACAGCAGACACGCTGACCTCCAAAATGAACTTGCACGCGGCATTGTCGTAGGTGATGTTGCGAGCGAAGGCACCGAGGGTGGAAGCAATGTCATCACAGGCATCCCTACTAAATTTGTCTCCGCGGCTTTTGGTTGTGAGTTGCAGGTATACCACGACGCACTGCCTGTTCGGCGCTTGCACGTCTCGTTCACCTTTTCCAGCATATACTCCACTTGTTCTGGGTAGTATCGCGGCAAATTTACTGCTTGCAATGCTTTGGGCAGCGCTTCATTGAGTTTCAAGTCCTCACCAGGACGGCTTGACATCTTGAGCGGGAGCACCCTTTTGCCATTCTTCACATGCTCACTCAGGAGATTGTTCAGCATGGTTGATTTCCCAATGCCTTGGGAACCACTGACCACCAACAAGGAAGGGGTGCTCAAAGCTTCACCTTGAGGTGAATTGATGAAGTCCTTGATGTATTCCTCCTCGACCGGCCGTGCAGGGGCGGGCTCTGTCCTTTCCAGCCTTTGCCCAGCCTTCCTCACTGCCCTGTTCATGAAGAAGCCAGGAAGGAACCTTTGAATGAGAGCTTGGAGAACCAGCACTACAACGCTCCCTGTGCTCAACAAAGTCCAACCAGTTTTAACGGTCTGCGCCGGAAAAGCCCTTGCGGGCTGTGTTCGTGCATGACCGCTTGGAAGGACGAACCCCTGGCGCAAGCTCAACCTGCCTCACAAAGATGCATCTGCGGAATGTCGAAGGAAAGGGACAATACATCGGTTCAGTCAATTTGTGCCAAACTGGCTTTGGTATTGAAGGATGCTTGATATGCAAAACCAAACAGGAACCACAGCGCCTAACCTCAATCAATACATGAATTTGAAGCAAATCATTCGACATCTTTGAACAACAGCTTGGTAGAGTTTGAACCTGAACCTACACATAGAAACTCTGACCACCTCAACAATTATCCCCTTCATTCAATCCAAACAATGAAGTGAACTAATCCCCAGAACCCCCACAGGAAAAAACATCAAAACCAACGAACATGAACACCAACATAAAATCATAGCACCCAAGCATTAGTACAACAACCTCAACAAAACATTTAGCAGGATAATCAAAAAGAAACAGTCAAACATTTCAGATTACAAGATTGAACAAAAACATAACAGCCTCCCACCTAACCTCCAACCTGTCCTGTCCTAGTTTCCCTGTTTTACCATTTTTTTATGGATTTGGGGCTGGTTTTTGGGGACGTACGCTGGATACTCAGTTGTTGGAAATCCGTGACATGTATCGGCTGCACCTCTGGGGCCTTGGAATCCTTGGGAGACGCCTGAGCTGACTGTGAATCCACTACCAGGTGCTCACAGAATCAAACAAAATTTGGGGATGGGTCAAAACCCTGGTACCTAGTGAACCCCAAAATAGCTGGTAAATGGATGTGAATAACCCACTAAAAATGTATCTATAGGTATTGACCCATACCCATTTACAGAACAATCCTGATATCCTATATGTGGCTTCGCCCCTGGTGCGCCTGCGCTGCCTTCGCTGCCTGCGCTGCCTGCGCTGCTTGCTGCGCCTGCGCGGCCTGCTGCGCGCGCACCTGCGCCTCCACCTGTGGCGTCACGTACTGCGACCTCATCAGTCGCAGCAAAAGCGAGGGCGACTAAGAGAGTACCCTCTGGCAATCCAACATGGCAAGGGGAAATTTGGGAAATCCCAATATTTCATAATATTTCATAATATTTCTATATATACATATATATATATATATAGATATGTATGATCTATTTCTACCATATTCTATAAGCAAGTCATCTAATTCATCTATGACTGCAGGACTTTCCATTCCAGCTTGACGAACCAAAATGTAGACCCTTCTTAGCATGACTTGCAGTTCTCTTCGCATGGTATTTTGGATTCTAGTTGGTCAGGACAACGATGCTGTGGCACCAGTCACAATTATCTTGAGAATTGTGTACTGGAGATCCGAAATAAAGAGGAAAATAGATAAATCATATGACATCAACGGGTCGTTATATACATGTCCCAATTGAACATCACCCCAAAAAAAATGGATGTGATCTCCAGCAGATACCAGACATCCTCGTGACACCCTCAGCCGCATCGCCAGGCCACCGGTAGAATCCTCCCAGCTGATTGGCCAACTGAGACTGCTGTGCCTGGACCTGGCATTGCGGTTAGGATCTCGGTTCGGATGAACTAAGGGCAGTGCGGCAGTGCAGTACTCATACCTTATATACGTGTATATTATATCATATTATATACACTTATACTGTTTTATATGTGTTTGATATGTTTAATATGTTTATATGTTTCTTTTTAAGTGATGTTGTATTGTATGATATTATCTTCGATATCATGTTCCCCTTGAGGACCTAAAAGTAAGACAAATGTTCCACACACCCATCGAATTTGCATGATCCCCTCCTGCGAGGCAGAACCACCGAAGGCACCATCATAGGCCTCATATGAGCAACATTGAGCAACGATGCACAGCTCCAAAAGGGAGCATCATAATTACTCACATCATATCATATACATAATCTTGTGAGACCATAAGCCTCCGGTGTCGCACAAAATCATAGGAAATGCATATATATATTATATTATATATATATATCACATCTATATCTTATGAACTCTCGTGATATCCATTGATATCCTACTATATCCTACTATATCCTATTGTCAAAGGCCAATTGATTATCTCAATCCTCACATCCCTCCGCTGCCATGGCTTTTCGGAGCTTTTTTTTGGATCCGGTTGGATCAGGGCCATGTGAACCCGCTGCGCTGCTTGGAGATTTGGGTGACCCCAAAATCCAGGTACCCCAAAATCACCCCAAAATCTAGAAAAAACATGTGAATTTATGTAAAATAATTGATGTTCATCAGTTCATCCCTCCATATGTATCCATATGTGCCATATTGGAAACTCACAGGCTTTCACCATTTTGACCCATTCCCGCCTGTCCAACTTGGGTGCCCATTGGCCCATAGGAGCCGCCAAACCTGGGCCATTGCCGATTTTTGCCCTCGATTTTGGGCTCCAAACTGCACAAACCTTTTGACGCTGAGCGCGAGGCCCTCCCATGCCGCCCATTGGTGCTGGCTGTCCCTGGAAGAACAACTCATGAGTCAGAAATAATCAGAACATGATTTTGTACCCCCAGAAAACACGGAAAAGTAATTTACCTGGAGTTGCTATACCGTACAAAAGAACTGGATTTGGCAGCTCAACAAGCACGCAAAGGGTTTCTGGTGCCATATTGCTGCACAAAGGACTCGTTAACTTGCGTCACATATCTCCTGGATTGATACATGAGATCTGGGCTAGATGCCCCAGCACCAGTCGGGACCAAGAGCAAAGGGGGGATACCACACACCCATTGACAGCAAGAAAGTACTGCCTGTTGTGGTGCACCAGGCGACATTGCCTGGTGTCAGCGACTGTAAGACTGGAGAACATAGAGAGTCACACCATATCAAAATACCCAGAGTAGCACAAGCATAGTTGAAAAGGGTCTTTGCGACTGAAAAATCAGCAAAGTGTCATAAAGCTTCATAGAGTTTCATAAAAAAGTGTCCAACTTGTCTCATGATCTGATCATATCCGATCCACATGTCAACGTAGCCAGGAGCGCAGGCACACCAGGCGCATAGATGGACCTGTCCACAGCGAAATTTGGACAGCAAAATACGCACAGCGTCCTGATCCAAAGCTCCGCCCTCCGCCTGTAGTAGGCGCCCATCTGGTTCGCAAGTTCAGCTTGTCCCATTGTCACCTCATTAGGAACAAAAATCCGGAGGGTCTGCCTCGAAATGTTTCAAGCTCTCAAGTTCAAGAGGTTCCTAGCTTCAGTATGTTGCGAGTCCTCTGAGGACAAAGCATCAGGTGTTGCCTGTGCCGGCTGTGCTGGCTGGGCTGGTTGCGAAATCACCTTCAACGAAGACAAGGAAAATCCTTTTGATGCATGAGCGTTTGGTTGCGTGTCTCTGTGTGAATGTCTCGTTCATCTGATTGCCTCGTGTCTTGAGACTCACTTAACCAATCTTAACCACATGCACCTGGTCACCAGCAGCCAGAACAGCAAAAGAAACACCTGGCAAAGATTGACAAGGAATGGAACCATTTGGGAATGTTGCGGGCATCGTATCAGTCTTTGGGTTCTCAACTTGGTCAAATGTAAGACATATCTGCACATGTTGTAGTCGAACGTCACCCACGTCTGTCCATACAGGATCAGACATCGTAATGAATACACACATTCATTGATGGTATATTATATAATATATAGTAATATGTAGGAGCATGGTGTAGGTTGTTTTGATCCGCTGATATTGACAATGCACATGACTACTCCATTTTGCACGGTCACTCCATGCTTCAAAGCTTGGCACATCCTGAAAAATCGTCCAACCTTTGGAAGGTCCAGGACACCAGGAGCCTAAAATAACCAAACCACTCTGGGACCCATCAGGACCCCCTGACAGTCCGAGTAGCTAAAAATACCTTTTCTACTCAAAAGGCTGGTTTCATCTGACAGTCCGAGTGGTTTGGTTGATGTCCCTCTGGCCATCTGGTGGCTGCAAGCAACTTGGTCGCCTTGAGCCCCAGTAGCGCCAATGTACAGTGGGACACAGAAAGCGTGTTTGTGTTTTTCTTGGGGCCTTGACAACACTTTAGGCTAACTCTGATGGTATCAAACCCGATGTGTCACTTTCTAGTGTATTATGCACATGATATTGGTTTTTTCCCTATGAGATGTCATATTTTATCTTGAGCCTCCCTTGCAGGGACGGATTCTTCAGGACTCTGTCCAAGCTTCTGTGCGGAAGTCGGGATCATGTCTGAAGGTACTGGTCTTTTGCCTCAGCGAAATGAAGAAAACTAGACAGTCAAAGCCCCTTGAAATGTGTTGTTTTTGCTTGAGAAACTGAAACATATGTATAGATTTATAGATATTTTATTGTGGTTTAATCAGATATTGCAGTAGATTGAAATCACACTTGAATCGTGACTCTGACAATGCGGTCCAGTGGCATCACAGAAAGGAGGCCAATGTGCCTCTCCTCAGCATTTCTGCGAAATTCAAGGTCCGCCTCAAATTCCTCCAACTCCTGGACCCAGCGGGACTGATAATCCCAAGATATCCCAAGGAAACGAAGCTCTTTGGCACAGCAACGCAACAGCATTGGCATCGCATGGCACGGAGAAAGATCAGCTCCTTCCGCATGTTCTCTGGGAGATTGTTGTGCTCAGCCAGGATGATTTCCAACATATCTTCCTTGGGACTGGCATCCGCCTTAGAGTTGGAAACTCGAAACAAGCTCTCGATCCTCTCTACGCTGGATGAGTCTTGAGCATGTTCATCTGGATTCATGTTTATGATGGTTTATTCAAGTTTATTCCATGTGTTCTCAACCAACATGTCATGAAGTATCATTGTGTATCAGATCTTCCGAACAGCGCACCTTGGCATCAGTCTCAAAGGAACAGTTGGAACGGAAGGTGAGGCCTGCCCAATGGTCGTTTCTGGCATCATAGCCATTGGATACCTCCATCCACCTACCTCTTTTGGACTGCGTTGCTGTGTTGTCGAAATGCGGGCTACAACTAGAGCCTCTTGGAACTGAATCTAGCTCCATCATGCTCTATTTGCAGCTTCCAGCCTGTATCTCTGAAGCCACTGACAGTGTCGCGGAAGTTTCCAGTTGTACTTCTGAAGAACGAGTCTGTCTCTCCCATAGCGGTTGAAGCATCAGCAGCTGCATCCGCTGGCCTCAGTGCTCAGTCTGAAGACTTCCGAAGGATGTGGCTATGGCCTATGGCTCAAAACGTTGGGTACCAAAGGTGGACAGAATGGGCCACAATGGGCCACAATGGGCCACAATGGGCCACAAGTCAAATCTAGAACTGGGAGATATTGGGAGATCCATTTCGGAACATTCAAATTTGTGCTCCATTGTGATCCAATGAAGTGCAAGTCACTCGTCCCAAAGTTTCAGAGACATCACATGTTCAGAGAGGGCCTGGGCCGCCACCTCTGCCTCCAGATTTCCGACAGCTGACCGACATGTCACAAGTGAAACAAATGACACAAGCGTCTAAAACTACAACTTGGATCCAAGAACAGCCAAGAAAAAAATATCCAATGCCTGCTCTTCCACCTCTCTCATCTCATACCCAAATTGAACTTGGTCCTGCAGGTCTTTTTTCAGATATCTGTGTATTTGGATGTGTTTGGCCTATCCGCAGAGCTCCACACTTCAGAATCTTCAGAGGCTTCTGAAAGTTCAGAACACAACTTTGTTCCAAATTTTTCCAAATTGCAGTTGCCACTGATTCACTATCAGTCAGTTTCACAATCAGTTTCACTCGCACTCCTCCAGGATTCTCAATTCGCGCAGCAGTTGCAGGTGATAACCGTATCCCTCTGGCACTTGCCATGGTGCAGGTGAGCCACCTATGCTGACATCCAGCTGCTTGTGTTCAACTTTCAAAAATATCCCCGGGATGTTGTGGAGCTCTTATAGTAGGCTCAACCATGAAGATTCAATCAAAACATATCAATTGGAATTGCCAATTGCCAGATTTGAAAGGGAAGAAACAACTATCATCAACTATCCAACATATCAAAATGATTTTTCACTCAAAGAAGTCGACCTGTGACCTGCGATGATTGCTGGCGAAGCCACTCACTTGGGACTCTGTCAGGAGATCTTCTGCAGCTGCATGAGCCCTCTGCAGCTGTTGATCCTCCATGCGATCCGCTAGCAGAACGAGAATCAGACAGAACAGAGGATTTCAAGAACGTAGGTGTAATATGGTGTAATGATGACAATGATACTCACTGCCTACTTTGGATATCCTTGGATATCTTCGGATATTTGATCCACAAATCTCTCCTTGACGTCCCTGTCTTCATCCGTAGCCTTGCTTAGGATGAAATTGTTGGTCGCGTCTTTCAGCGTCTCAGAGGCGTCCTGAGGACTGCCAAGAGTCGGGGGGGCAGTTCAATCGCCTCACAGCCCAATCCAGGACTCCATGTTCAGTGATAGTTTGTGTATATATATATATACATATATATATATATACATATATATATATATACATATATATATATACATATATATATACATATATCTATATATATATATATATATACAATACATGAATATGTATGAATATGTGAAACCACTGCCATTTCCCAATGCGCAACTCCTTGTCAGCCTACATGTGCACCATCCCATACATCCATCATTGCCGAAGCCTGGGGCTCCGTGAGCTAAGCAGGTGGGTGGGCATAGGCTTTGAGCCATAGGAGGATCGTGGCCGATCCCTTGCACCGTGTGCATTCAGCGATTGGAGGAAAACATAGCGGACGCTGCGGTGCAGCGAGGTGGAACCTTTTGGGAGCTCAGGGAGCTCAGTTGGTTGGGCCGCTACCAGTTCTAAACTGGTAGCGGAGCCCGGACGATGGCTTCGCCAGGGCAAAGTGGAGAAGCTTCAGCAGAAGTTGGACAAGTTCCCAATAACCTGTCTATACTGGTGCCGAGTTTTGATCCGGCAGTGGACAACGTGGAAATCTGGACGAACAAGGTAGAATTGCTGCTTTCAGCATGGCCTGCCAACAAGATTCAGGAGTTAGCCACACGTCTGGTGCTGGGGTGTAAGGGGACTGCCTTCCAGAAACTTCAACTTCACCGCAAGGAGATTTTGATCAACGACCCTCAGGGGATTCAGAGGCTGGTGGAACTGGTTGGAGGTAAATGGGGGGCCATTCCCTTGGAGAAGAAATTCGAGTTGGTAGAGAAAGCACTTTACCGCAGTCAGCAAAAGATGGACGAAAGCAGTGACTCCTATCTGTCCCGTTGTGACGTGGTATGGACGGAGTTGATTGGCAAGAAGATTGACATGGCAGAGATTCAGGCCTACATACTTCTTCGAGGAAGTCGACTTGGAAGTGAAGACAAGAAACGGGTCATAGTGGACTCTGGAGCTGAGAAAGGTGGGGCCTTAGAAGTATCCAAAGTGGAAGCAGCTGTGAGAATGATTGGTTCAGGTTTTTTTCAAGACATGGTGGGGTTCAAAAAGGAGAAGAGCCTCAAGACGTATGACCACACAGCCTTCACTTTGGAAGATCAATCGGAAAACATGGACACCGAGAATGAGACGTTTTGGGTTCAGGATGACTTTCTGGACGATTCCACACTGGAAAGTCTTGCAGCGGAGGATGACGATGATGCAGCACTTGTACTTCAATTTGAAGATGCAGTGGCGGAAACAGTGCAGAATGATGCTGAGCTCTGTGCCTTTTACTCCTCGTACCAAGAGGCTCGAAAGAGGTTGTCTGAAAAGGTGCGCTTCAGAGGCTTCTGGGCTGTCAAACGTGGAGAAAAGGGATCGGGCAAAAAGGGCAAAGTGAAGGGCAAGGGAAAGAGTTCTCTCGCCAATAGGATTGCAAACTCCTATTGTCGCATCTGCATGAAGAAAGGCCATTGGAAGAACGAGTGCCCTTCCAGAAGTACGGCATCATCTGCGGCTCCATCGACCGCACCGACATCATTTGTGACCACGGCCGAGATCCCTGAAGAGCTGCTCAACCTGTCCACCACTGAGGAGAAAACTGGGGTGTGGGATGATGAAGTTTGTCTGACAATGATGGATGATAAGGTAACTATTGGGGATAAATGGGGCTTCAGTAAGTTCAAGCGGGTTCTTTCCAGGAGCCAGCTGGGTTCTAAGAGTGTGCCGACCCATTTGAGCATCCGTGAGAGCATTGCCACCCTGCGCAAGCTGAAGCTTCAAAGAAGTGAGCCCCATGTATCGCGAGAAGACTCCGAACACCTGAGCCTATTCGCATCATCCGGATCCATAGGAATTGTTGACCTAGGTGCCTCTCAGACTGTGATAGGTAGCAAACAAGTTCCTGAGTTGTTGAAACAGATTCCGGAATGGGTGCGCAGCCGTGTTCGTCGCCAGTCTTGCAACTTGGTTTTTCGATTTGGAAATCATCAAACCTTGGTCAGTCGACATGCACTCATGCTGCCTTTGGGAGACCAATTTTTCAGAATTGCAGTTGTGGAGGGCAACACACCGTTCTTGATTTCAAGTTCATTTCTCAAGGGCATCCAAGCAGTAATTGACACGGAGCAAGAAACCATGTGGAGCAAGTTTCTCAGCCGTCAATTGAAGGTGTCACGAAATCACAAGAACTTGTTTTTGATGGACCTTAATGAGCTGTGGCCTTCCGAAATCCCAGGGCAATGCAATGAATCTGCCAAAATGGTAGGACCTGAGACATGTTTGGCATCCGAGTCCAAAATTGCAGATAGTCAGCCGCCTCAACCCAGTGAGGATTCCATGCCAAAGCATGCTGAAGTTGAGAAGGTTTTGCAGGTCAATCAGGTTGACCCGCCATTCATGCCGGTTGCAATGCATTCGAAATCAGAAGCCTGCCAGCAGATTTCCGTAGAACATGTCGAACACCGTAGTTGCACTGGCACAAAAGAGATCGAGCCAACACCTTCCGATCAGCGTTCCCACGTGAATCATGGCGTCAGTGTCTCAGAAGTTGGGTCAGTATCGAGCCAAGATGGAAGAGCACCAATCACAGGATCGTGTAGCCGACCTGAAGAAGCTCAGCCTGCAGGAACTGGAGAAAGAAGTGATCGCGTTTGGGAAAGCAAAGCTGGGGACACCGTTTCCGGAAGCCTTCAAGGATCACAAGTGGACGGATTGGTTTGTGAGCCAATACGAAAAGAGTCCCAAAATGGAACACCAGAAGTACGTGATGTATGTAGAAAAGAAGTTGGACCAGGAGATCAAGTCCGAGGGATACCAGAACAAGAACCCGGTCAAACAGAAGGGCAATGGGTCCGACAAGTCATGGAGTCACATCAAGGAGGAGCTGGGGGAGGAAAGTGCCGAGGAATGGGAACCGACTCCAGCAAAGATGTCGGGAGTGACCACCGAGATGGCCATTCTTCAAGACCAAGTGAACCACATGTTCCAAGAGAACCAGAACCTCAATCATCGCATGGCCAACCTCGAGGGCAACATGGCCGAGATTCTCCTGCATCTCAAGGGTCTGAGTGTTCAGGGCAACCCGTAGAGAGTTTTCATGGTGAGGATGTTGCTGATTGGGATTTTAATTTCATGGTACCACCGGGAATTCAATGTCCGTCATTCAAATCACAAGTCAGCCGTTTGGTGAAACAGTTTGAGTCCGAATTGAAACAGATCCCGATGCCACGCATGCAGCAGCCTCGCATCGATCTCCTCGAAGTCATGTGCCATGACCACAGTGAACTGGCTTTGCAAATGAAGAATGTGGGGGGAAAAGCATATCGTTTCAGCATGACACAAGGGGATCTTAGCACTGAACTTGGACGTAACAAGCTGTTCTCAATGTTGGTGACTCATAGACCAAAACATGTTTGGTACAGCCCCGAATGTTTCCCATGGTGCCTTTGGAATCAGTTCAACGAAAGTAGAAGCATGCAATTGTGGGAACAGATCTATCACAAGAGACAAGCCAGTTTGTGGCAAATCAGTTTGGGGATTGTGCTGTATCGATACCAGATTGCTCACCGAAGTCATTTCCATCATGAACAACCAGCAGGGTCCAAAATGAAATCCGTAGCCGGAATGGAAGAGATCACCAACAACACACTCTGCAGCAGGTTTGACATGTGTCAAGTTGGAAACCTGCGAGACCCTGCCACTGGAGAAGCAATCAGAAAGCGATTGGAAGTGCACACGACTTCAGAAACTCTGCATCGAAACTTGCATAAGCGTTTGTGCCCAGGGCTTCATGTTCATCGCCAAATTGCCGGTCAGACTGTCGTTCATGGTCATCGGATGCCGTTGTCCAAGTTTACAGAACAATATCCACCAAAGTTTGCCCGACAAGTTACCAAAATCATGTTACAAAGTCATGACACACCGGTGTTTGGTACTGAAACAGTTGAGGACGAAGAGCATCCGACCAAGAAACGACGTCTTGGTCAGAAAATGAACTTGGAAGCCATAGCACAAAAATTCACCAGCATCAATTGGCAGACAGTGATGACATTGGCAGATCGACTAGCTCCCCGAGTTGGCACTATGATCGTTGACCATGGACCACTGTTTCAGCAGGTGCAACACATGTGTAGCAACCAAACTGTGAAGCATTTGGTTTTGTGTAGAGGCCTCTACACGGACCGATATGTTGGTCCCAACAAATCAATGTTTCCTGGAGAAGCCCCTTTGCGGCGCATGATATGCATCCGTAGGAAAATCGAAGATGTTCAGGTGGACACTGAGTGGGAGCCCTGGGAAAAACTCACGTACAAAGGCCTTCGAAGAAAGGCCATGCCAGCCAGGGTGAGCTTGACGATTTTTGCGCAAGCCAAGTCTATGACTGAGGAATCAGGGAGAATTTCTGCCGATGCTGCAATCCCAGCGATGCCAGAGAGAGATCATGCTCCGCCATCGATTGCACAACCCTCAGCCAAGAGGATCCGATGGGACACAATGCCAGAAGTTGAAGTACCCAGATCATCAGACTCATCATCATCCACCCCTCCACCAAATCCATCCCTAAGGACCAGTAACAATAATCCTGCTAACCCTAACGATAACGTTACCCCAGACAACAACAATGAAAATACTCCAGTACTTCCAGAGAATCCAAAGGCCAAGGAATTCCCTGAAGTGGACCGAAATGTTATCGACCTTGCCAGCCAAAAACATGGACCAAAATTCCTCAAGCTAGAAGCCAGTGAGCAAGCATGGTTGATCAAGATTCATAGGAACCTAGGACATCCTGGCCCTCAGAAGCTGATGGAGTTTTGCAGGCAATTGAGATGTCCGGAAGAATTCCTCCAAGCAATTCCGGATTTGAATTGTTCCACGTGCAAAGAGACACAACAGCCGAAAGTGGCACGACCGGCCGCTATCCATGAGCCGATGGATTTTGGTGAAGTCATTTCTATGGATGGGGTAACTTGGACCAATAGCAAGGGTGACCAGTTCCACTTTTACCACTTCATTGACCAGG